GTTGTATATACAAACAGTTTAGAGCAAGATGACCTATTCATGGGAGAAAAATCCAAAGAGGTCTATTAAACACAAAGGCAGGAGCTACGGCTCAGTAAGTCCTCAGCAAGGCTGCAGAGAGGCTGGGAGCCCATTCTGCACCTGTACTGTGCCCCATCGGCACAACTGGCACGCTCGTCCCCGCGCCTCTGCTAACGGGCACGGGCGAAGCCAGGGCACCAGCTCCCATCGATGCTTCATTGGACTCGCTCTAGCAGGTCTCATGTTTTTAGCCCAAAGCTAAATTTTTGCACATAAGCACTTACGGACTTTTCCTAAAGTAACAAAACAAAACCAAGATACAGATTTCATAATGTAAAGAGTAGCCTCATACTACATGGCTGATTATAATGAAATATCCAAGAACTAAAAAAATCTTTAGAGTTCTATGGTTCTCAGAAGTGAGAATCTAACAACAAAAATACATTTCAGAGACAGGGGCATGGGCTCTGTAAAAACAGCACAGAGCTAGTTTTATATTTAGAGTGATCAGAAAAACAAAATACTTCACCTTCAGGGGTCTGCAGACACCTTCTGTGATATGCCCAACTACTTCTTGAATATTTTCTTCCACGCCTACAGTTAATGCAAACATATGTTAAGATAACACAGATTAATTTGATTCTCTCCATCAGTATAAAGCAAAAACAAGTGTACAAGCGATTCCTCCATAAAAAGCACTAGGGACTGCAAGATCTTTTCTCTGCAAGAGCCTGACTGGTTTATATCTCTGCTGAACTTCAAATCTAGCCATTAATAAATAGTTGCATGACAAAACAGGGTCCTGGAGAATCATTACCTGATGCTATGCAATAACCTCCTATCATAACATAGAGCCTGGGGATTGGAGGGAGAAGGAGCAAGGGGAAGAATAAACAATCTAGCAAGAAACTGTCACGGTGAGGCTCAATATTAGCACTTCAGGAAAATAAATAGAAAAAAAAACACTAAGAAGCTCAAGGAACAACACTGTCTACCACTGTGACAGGGCAAACTGCAAATACATGTGCCTGGCAATTTTAGACACTGCTGTACCTAAGGCATTGTTATGAATTAAACCACATGGGCACTTCCACTGCAGTATACTACAGCGCTGGCAAATGCTCCTTCCCCAGCAGCAGCTGAACCTCGGCGTTCACAGAACCACATACACAAAAGAGAATATTGCCTGTCTTGTCATGAAACACAAATGAATCGTCGCATGGCAACTGCTACTGCCATCAATCAATCAAAGTGAAAGCAACAGATCTTCGAGCTCTCACTTCAGTGGTGACTCAGAATAGATTTACGGAGACAGCAATGCTTTAATTCTAATTTAAAACACGCCAACAAGAGTTCATCTTCAGATAGGACCCATGCAATGAACAGTAAACAAATTGATGGAGATGTGATAAAAATCAGGCGACCTCAAGCTATATTTTGCAGCTCTTATTTCACACTAAGAGATCACTTCTGAGAGTAAAAATTATAAACAAAGATGAGATACATGTGATATGTCCCTCTTCCACTAAGATATGTGAAAAACTACTTCAAAATACATTCTGTGTGGTTGTCTTCTCTAAGAAATTCAGCACCTTAAATCAGTATGCTAATAAATTATATAAAATAATAAAAATTAAATTATAAATATAAATTATATTTACATATTTAAGTATTCATATCAAGAAGGAAAGCAAGATCACAAAACAGAAGATTCTTGACCTGTAATGCTTTACACCCTAACAATATACACTCCTTTTAGCAGAATTTACATTTCAGTCTATTAGGAGCACTCATGTTTTTATTGTTCATCAGTATAGTAACTACCTGGCACATACATGGAATAGTGCATCAAGATCAGATTGACTAAAAAAATGTTAGTTATCAAACTTTTAGCTGCAAAGACATACAAATACAAACACCAATGCACACAGAATTACCATCTTGGTACTACACCTCATGCATACGCCTTCACATAAACTTCAACATCCAACTAGGATATTTAGTTTCAGCAAACAATAAAAGGAAATCTTCCAGCACAACTGGTTATGTAACTGTTGCAATATTAGTACATCATACTGATATAAGAGAATTAAGGATTAAACAATTTTTAGAGATTCAAAAATCAATTTTTGAAAGCAGTTTTATTAGCTGAAGATATGTTTTTGGCTGCCTCCCGTATAATATTTCATTTCTCTGTAAGAGAGATAGCTTGTACTTTATTTTGGTTTCTACTTTCTGGCTGGGTTCCTACAGCTGCAAGGAAAATGGGTTTCTACTGCTTCTTTTAAATAGAATGTTTGCAATTCTCCCTTCCTTTCAAGCACAAGTCCTCTATAAAATGGGAAGGTTCCTGCTTACAGAATGCCTAAGCTGCAAAGAAGAAAGAGATGCCTTTCCCCGGCCAATACAATACAAAACAGTACATATTCTATTGAATGCAGTTTCACTGCTCAAAATTTTAATGGCATTTTTGATTAAATTATTTTTTAGAAGTTGCCACTTGCAAGGTTACAACTTTTAAAACTTTTAAGACATTAGTCTTGAATATTTAGTTAGAGACTATTTAGTTCATTCTCATTAAAGTCAAAATAGGGACATTCCTCCATAAACGTGTCCTTTGCACAATTCTTCTTTCACTGGGACCAAATCTAAGAGAATAAGGAAGTTTTTATGCAGAAATTTTGTTGTCTCCCCAGTACTTATACCACATTTAGCTTACAGGAGGATTTAAGCAGAAACTTGAACTTGGCACTTGAATTAAAACATAAAAGCAGCTTCATCTGCAAAGGGCTATTTAAACAGAAAGTTAGAACATTTCACTGACCCACGATA